AGACTGAATGCATCCTTTGGTTATTTCTAACTAGGCACCTGATTGGCCTTATGACAATATTGCTAGTGAAAATTTTTCAACTTTATGCTATCTGTTTCACATTGAATTAATGCATCCTGTTAAAATAATACAGGTGTTCAACTATACATAGGATATATGCAAAAAAAGACTCATATGGAGAACAGTATAGAGGTTCCTTTAAAAAGTAAAAATAGAGCTACCAGATGATCTAGCAATCTGACTCCTGGGCATATATCTGGAGAGAGTCGTAACTTGAAAAAAAAAATACATGTACTTCAGTGTTCATAGGAGCACTATTTATGATAGTCAGGACACAGAAGCATCCTAAATGTTCATCAATAGAGGAATAGATAAATGAGATGTGGTACATATACACAATGGAATATTACTCAGTCATAAAAAAGAACAAAATAATGGCATTTGCAGCAACACAGATGGACCTAGTTTGTCACACTGGGTGAAGACAGCTGAAAAAAGACAAATATCACATGGTATTGCTTCTATGTGGGATCTAAGAAAGGGGGGTACAAATTAACGTATCTATAAAACAGAAATGGAGTCAGATGTAGAAAACAAACATGGTTAACAGGGGCTAAGTGGGGATAAATTGGGAGATTGGGACTAACATGTACACACTACTATGTATAAAACAGATAACTAACAAGGAAATTCTACTCAATACTCTGTGATGGCCTATATGGGAAAAGAATCTAAAAAACAGTGGCTATGTGTATAACGGATTCTTTGCTATACAGCTGAAACTAATATAACACTGTAGATCAACTATACTCCAATAAAAATTATGTTTCATTGAAATCCTCCTCCCATCACCAAGTTAGAAATAGACTCTTAGTTATCATAACTTACCATTTATCATTTACTTTTGTCTTCTGGATAGAAATGATGCCTGCTGTCTCCAAGCTTTCAACTGACAACATTTCTACCAGAACTCTCCATCATTATTGACAGCAACGTTCTCCTTGTTAATTGCCCAGCAGCATATTGAGTGACTGACTGGCTCTCTAGGGCAGATTTGAAAGGCATTGGCAGAAAAGGGCAGTGATAGTGAGGTACAATACTCTCTGTCTCATGGTAATGGCACCAACTAACTGCTTATTTAGGTTTTTTCAGAAAAGAATACACTGATCTTTTACCTGGACTTTTCACTTTTTATACTGATGTGTTTGAGGATAAGTAGTGAAAGCTTTCAAAAATGTTCTACATGCACCCAATAATTGTAAACACCCTCTTAACACTGTGCCTATAAAACTCCATCTATGATCACTCAATGGAAAAAAATGGATAATTTATATTAAAAATGGACATATAAGCATGGAAAACCAATGAATCAGTGATATGTTCTGGTTGTTTCAAAAATGAGTAGGCAACGCCTAGAGTAATGAAAAGATTTTTTAAGTAGAAGACTTGGCATGCTCATTTTAAACAGTATGACTAGAGTAATAGATAAAATATATATTTTCATGAGATCTGGGCTCTTAAACTGATTTTCCCAGAAAGTGCCATAGGGAATTCACCAAAGAGCACCTGAAAAGTCTTTGCACCCACATAATAAGGGAGTAGGTCTGGATCAGTAGTTATTGATATATGGAAATCAATTGATAGTAGTTATTAATATATTGAAAGTTTTTTAAGTACTCTTGTCTGGGTCCTACCCTGAGAAATACTAATTTCATTTGTTGTGGCACGTCAATGATTTCTAAATTTGTCTGAACCAGAACCACCTGGCAAACTTGGGAGCCATACAAAGCCCAAAGTTGTATCCTAATTCAAGGAACTGGGGCCTTGCATACTTGATTTGCTCTCCAAGTGATTCTGATAACATCCTAGTTCAAAATCACTGGTCTACATTTAGCATCTGCTGCTGCTGCTGCTAAGTCGCTTCAATCATGTCCGACTCTGTGCGACCCCATAGACGGCAGCCCACTCGGCTCCTCTGCCCCTGGGATTCTCCAGGCAAGAATACAGGAGTGGGTTGCCATTTCCTTCTCCAATGCATGAAAGTGAAAAGTGAAAGTGAAGTCACTCAGTTGTGTCTGACTCTTCGAGACCCCATGGACTGCAGCCCACCAGGCTCCTCCGTCCATGGGATTTTCCAGGCAAGAGCACTGGGCATTCAGCATCAGACATTTTTAAGTCCTCCACGTGATACTCCCGAGATGCAGCCATGGTTGGGGACCACTGATGAAAATAATATTTAGGATTATTCCAAGTCTGGCAGGAATAATAAAATTGCTAACTTTTATTAAACATTTATTGTATATAAGGTATTGTGCTAAGTATTATTTCACTCAGTAAATGGCAGACTCTGAGAAATAATACAATCTTGCATTTAAGAGAATGGAGGGTTCATAACTCAGCTAAGGTGACGTGACTAGGAGGTAATAGACTGGAATCCAAGCTGTCTTACTTTAGATATCACACAATTAACTATGACATCAATAACCTTTTGGAATTATAAGAGAAATTGAAAACTCTAAGTTGGGAACACGTTAGGAGGTAGTACTTAAATTATTTTTTATACTTAAAAATATACTTGACTTGTAATTATATAATTAAAACAAAGAAATCATTTTATAAATAAATGGAGAATATAGGGAAAGTGTTTATAAACTAAAAGGAAGTCAGAAGTTGACAGTTTTAGAGAAGCAGCTTTGATTTGAATTATTCTGTTTATTTCAGAAAGGAGACCATAAACTGCTTGTACTAGTAGTACTTGAGGAGTGAACATAAGAATTACATGTAAAGATATTTTGTCGTAGTTATATTGAGGGGAAGGTGGCAAGAATTTCAGAGGAAAGAAGAAATGTGTACACTTCTTTGAAATGGTTCCAATTGTTAATAACTCAATGAATTGGGGGGGAAAAAGCTGTTTACACTCCATAACACTTCTTTTTTTTCTCCTTTCATGTTTGGAAAGATATCAGTTCAATACCTTTCTAGGCATGGAAAACACGTTGGCCACTGCAACTGGTCACACTTGGGCCTGTGAAGGGGAGAGAGAGTGCCTCAGTCAAGTATTACTATGTTTTTGGTCATATAAAGAGGAAAGTGGTACTTGGGAGACTGCCCTGACTCTCTCAGGACACAGCCTTTCTCAGGTTTGTGAAGAGGACACATATGGCAGAGTGCCAACACTGAAATGTTGGAAGAAGGGACATTTTCTGCCACCAAAAAAAAAAAAAACAAGGGAAAAAACCCAGAAAGAGATACCAAGGGTCTTTTTGCACAATAGCAAATTTAATTGCTCCCAGTTAGAGAAGGGGACACTTGCACATTTTATAAACTGCCCTTACTAATGAGCAAAGTTTGCATTTATTTTTGTTGATGTTATTTCCTGATTGGTGTTTACACTGATCATTTACTATACAGAGAACACTGAATTTTCAGCATTCTGGAGAGTCTGTGAGATGGTTCCTGATTCTGATATTTTGGTATTCACTATATGATGTAACTAAAATGTACATATTCAATTATGTGAAGATTGAGTGTGTGCAGAGAACAGAATAATTATGCTGCCAACAAGCCATTGTGAGCCCTTAATGTACTTATATTTCAAATAATGGATGGTTCTGTGGTGACTCCCACAAAGACTAATTTTAGGACTATTTTAACAGTGAGTAAATGACGTGTGATCTTTAAGTAATGTAGTAATATTAAAAAAAGGTACAGGAAAAAGTGTGTATTATTCTGAAATTCTCTTGGTTTCTCCAAAACATTTAACATGGCAGGAAAATACTAATTAAAGGAAGACAAATAAAAATTGAGTTTGGATTGTAGTGTCAAATGTGACTAATTTCTGTGGACTAATAATGATACAACATGTTTTAGAACACATTGGTACTGGAGCTGTGTTCTGTTGAAAGTGGCGGAAAGGCAAAATTGCAAGCAGGTGCTTATGGTGGAAACCACTGAAGATAACCAGAGGCTTGTAACAGAAAAGGTAACCCAACCTTAACTATGGTCGGCTAACTCAGCCGTGGCAAGGAGGCTTGCCTTGATTTCCAACTCGGACCACTCCTGGAAATCATCACAGAAGCAGCAGCAACACAGTTACAAGCTGGAGGGAAGATCTTTAAGAAGAAACTTTGGGCATTCTCCCTGCTATGATCCACACAATACTTAATCCTATGTCAGGGAAAGAGACTAAATTAATCCTAATATTGGATCTTCGCCCAGATCCAGTTTTCCAGCGTCGCGTACATACACCATTCAGGGCAACTTTGCCAGCTTTACCAGGTCACATCCCTTTTTCTCTGGAAGCTCCAGCATGGGGCTCATCGTCAACAAGCTCTGATAATCAGCCAGGAACCACCCAACTCCATTTCTCCAGGAGGACTGAGGCAAGCGGGAGGTGAAGAGGAAACCTCGGGGGCAGTGGGGGGCCGTGGAGGGAGGGAGGCGGGGGCAAGGGAAGGGGAAGGATCAGGAGGACAGGTCTGACTCCTGACTGGCTGGGGTGGTTGTGGAGAAAGTCACAGCTCAGGCTCACCAGTCAGGAGCTGTCCAACTTTTCAGCAGCTCCGGGATCAAGGTTCGGGTGCCCTGGACCGAGGAGGCGGCTCCTCTGGCCGCCGCCGCTGCTGCTTCTGCAGCTCCAGCTGCTAACAATTCCTGCTCTCGCCGCCGGCGCCGGGAGGAAGGAAGGGAAGAAGAAAGGGAGCAAGACGGCACCGACCATTGGCGAAGCCGCGCATCGCGCGCCTTAGTCTTGGAGACTTGGGGAGCCCAGGAGCGTGCCTCTGGCACAAGCACCGTGGAGGGAGCCCTGTCGTGTTCTGTGACCTCTCCCGCTGGCAGAGCCCCCTTTCGGTCGTCTGGAGCCTCTGGCGGCTTCAAGTGGGAAGCGGAGCCCAGCCTCAGCTCGGCTCCAGAAGCGGCGGCGGCGGCAGCACCGGGGAGGCGCTCTGGCCGGCGTGGTGAGCCCAGCTGGGCAGCAGGGCGCGGAGCCGCGAGCCAGGATGGAGGCAGAGGGCAGCAGCGTGCCGGCCCGGGCGGGCAGCGGCGAGGGCAGCGACGGCGCCGGCGGGGCCGCGCTCAAAGCCCCCAAGCACCTCTGGAGGCACGAGCAGCACCACCAGTACCCGCTCCGGCAGCCCCAGTTCCGTCTCCTGCACCCCCATCACCACCTGCCCCCGCCGCCGCCGCCCTCGCCCCAGCCCCAGTGCCCCCTGCAGCCGCCGCCGCCCCCCCTGCCGCCGCCCCCGCCGCCGCCGCCCGGGGCGGCTCGCGGCCGCTACGCCTCGAGCGGGGCCACCGGCCGCGTCCGGCACCGCGGCTACTCGGACACCGAGCGCTACCTGTACTGCCGCGCCATGGACCGCACCTCCTACGCCGTGGAGACCGGCCACCGGCCCGGCCTGAAGAAATCCAGGATGTCCTGGCCCTCGTCGTTCCAGGGACTCAGGCGGTGAGTGGAGAGCGCCCCCTCCCCTATTCAGGCAAGGGGTCACCTCCCCAGCTCTCAGAGTCTCCTCGATGGTCCATTTACCCATGCCTTCCTGGACCCGGGGCCAAATTCTATTCTGGGAAACGCGGGCGGGCCAGCAGGGGCGTGTCTGTCCTTGCTTGAAAGGTTACTATTCAGGTGTGTGTAAGAGACCCCAAAAGTACGGCATTGGTGTTGAGTGTGCATGTGTGTATGAGAGAGAGAGATTGAGCTTCCCAGTCGTGTAGATGTAGACCACCCACCCCTCTCCCCTCCCCACCCACTTCCACCCCACCCTGGCGAGTGAGACTTGAGCAGGCGAATTCCGATTTCTCTGGCTGGTGAAGGAGGAAAGGGCGGGGGGCGGGGGGCGCTGAGCCAGGAAAACACCCAGTAATCTGTCTACAACCCCAGAGTAAGGCGGTGTGGGGTGGCGAGGCAGTTCAGACTGGGGCAGGGGTGGGGGAATGGGTGCGAAAGCTTGGTCCCACAATTGCAGTCAAAGCTTGAGAACAACTCTAGTTTCTGTCAAGTCGGGAAGTAAATTGAACAGCGAAAGGGGAGAACAAACACGTGGGTGACTTGGAGAGTTTGGAGCAAAATGTTCAGCAATCCTTAGCAGAGGGAAGGAGGGAGAGATGGAAGGAAAGGCGGGAGCGAGGACTCTGTGGGAGTTACACTGTGTCGGTGTGTGGTGTGTGTAAGCATGTGTGTATCAAGTGGTCCCTGCAGAATCTCGGGAAGAAAGCACCTCGTTTTAGCAGCAGGCGAGTTCGTAGAGATCTGATTACAGTGATTTTTCCCTTAACATAAAGTGCTCCGGAAGACGGGGCATGGAAGTGGCATTTCACCGGAGTTTCAATAGATGCCTACCGCTCCAACTCCAAGAAAATATTCCAAGAGCCAGATACAGCTGATCTGAGGAGTTAGCTCCAGATTCTCTCCACTCAGGAGCGGTGGTGGAAGTTGAGCCCCTTTTCAGTCCCTTTCCTGGCAACCGGGAGCAGCTCCTTTCCCCGCTGTCCCGGGCCCTCAAAGCCACAAACCCCCTCCCCCACACGGACAGGGGCGCCCACAAATGTTTCAGGAGCTGCGGATCCTTGGCACACCTAATGGCAAAGCAGGGCTCTCATCACCTGTCTTAGGCTTGGGCAGACTTTGATGGACTGCAAGTGCAAGCCACGTACCTGTCTGATGGGTACTGTGAACTGTACGTCAGGGTTGGGTATGGAAACAGGAAAACCTGAAGCTGGGATTGTTTGTCCAACGCTAATTGACAGTAGATTGGATTTATTAGAAAATCTTAATAGTGTCCAAATATGCTTTTCTGAGTTTCCTTCATCTCTCCCTCCATCCATTCATCCCTCCTCCCTCTTCCTTCCTTTCTCCCTCTCTCTTTTTCTTTTTCCTCCCTTCCCTTCCCTTGTCTTTGATTCCCTTCCTTTCTCTCTCTGATGAGCGTCTCTCTGTGTTGTATACACTATGGTCAAAGGGAATCCAGCCAAATAGACTATCCCAACCCTGATGTGCATGCGCACTCCTCATACCCTCTGCCTTCCTCATAGCTCCAGAAGGACAGACATTGTTCCTGGTAATGTCATTGTACCTGTTAGATAAGAAGAGTGAAAATTATAGTTAATAATGTCAGTTCAGATCAATTTAAATGCTAAAGATTGGCATGATTAGCAGACATTCATAAAATTAATATGCAAGTTTCATTTTTACAGTCCAGACTGCTAAAACCCACATGCAGCTTTACCCTTTGAACAGGTGGGTGTTCATCCACTTGGGCTGAACAGTTTATATGTGGGTCCCCAAAATGGAATAAAGGCAATCATGGCAGTTTGTATGTTTGACCTAGGATAAAAGATTTTTATGAGACTGAGCTCTTGCTGTATGGTTCAGTCTCTCAGTTGTGTCCGACTCTTGTGACTCCATAGGGTGTAGCCTGCCAGGCTCCTCTATACATGGGATTCTCCAGGCAAGAATACTGGAGTGGATTGCCATGCTTTTCTCCAGGGGATCTTCCCGACCCAGGGATCGAACCCAGGTCTCCTGCATTGCAGGCAGCCCCCTTACCAACTGAGCCACCAGGGAAGCTGCAGCCGTTAGTAAACATTAAATATGAATAAGAGTTCTCGCGTACGTACTCTGTGGGTTGATTGACTTTGTAGAGCCTCTTAATTAACTTCATTTTTAAAAATAAAATAGAATGTTTGAGAGGGTGAAGGGAGAAAAATGAGCTAATTGGAATAGAGGTATTGCATTGTTGATTTGAATTTATTTTTTGCTCTGTTCTCTACACTGATTAATTCTTCTGTTTGAAATTTGTTAGTTAAATGGTTCACAGAAAACTAAGCTATATAACATTTACACATAACTTCCTCTGTGGCTCACCTGATAAATCATTGTTGTTCTATTTAAGGATCTTTACATCACTTATGTATTTTCCAAACACTTGAACATTGCATTTCAAAATTTCTTTAATGTAGTTGCTTTTGCAAATAAATGTGTTTTTCAAGGAAGTGTGGTTTTTACTTGCATTCTTTAAAGAGAACAGTAACAATGCTTAAAAATTATCCCTAAATTGCTTTCATTATTTGAACCCATTAACAACACTGAGATGGAATGGCACTATGTCCACTTTATTGATAAGAACAGTGAGACCTAGAGGATGTGAGTAACTTGTTCAGTAACGCATGGCCTTTGAATGTCAGAGCTAAAACTAAAACCTAAGTCTCCTGACTCAACAAAGGTGATGGTGCTGGCTAAAATAAATGTGTGCAGAACCTGTGGTGTTGACAGAATCAAGAAAGATATGAAATGGAATATGAAGTTTATATTGATTGATACTACAGTTCATAAAGCCCAAATGAACCAAATATGAAATACGGTTTAAATCTACTTTTTAAAAAATGACAGATAGCATAAGCTATGGAAGCAGTGAGAGATTTTAACCCTTATTTTTAACTTCTGCAATCCTGGCCATGACACTTGTGTTAATGATTACAGAAGAGGCAAACCAGTGTATCTATTGACTTTATATAATAATATAATGATAAACATAAAAAGCAAATTATCAGAGAATCACATATAGTCAGAAGATTTCAGGTTGTTTTCAATGATCTTCTAAGATGAAATAAGCATGTGAGACATGAGCAAAGAGTATATGTTTGTGTGTGTATTCCTGTGTGTGCCATCATCCAAGTGGAAGGCTTAAATTGTCTGTCAAGTTAACGTCTCTGAAAAAGCCTCATGGATGGATGGATGAATGATTCCCTATGGATTATCAAAAAAAATATGTCTTTTAAAAGGCTATTTTTAGAATGTATAGTAGCATTTCCAGATATGATCTTCACTAAAATTCTGAGAATTAGTTACAGTGTGTAAAGCAAAGAGAAAAATGTATATACTTGGTTGAATGAAAAAAATTGTATAAATAGGAAGGAGGCAATCCTCAGACATTTCATGATCCATTCTTTTGATTCCATCTGGAAATGTAGGTATGTTAATAAATTTTATATTAACTTGTATCTAACAAGGTAGATCCATTTTTTAAAAAATCAGTGTGAAAGGAATTTGAAATAATAAAATTACCAGAGGAATGCCTTTATGTCATCAAGAGAACCAAAGGAAATATTTTTAAAATTAGCACTTTTTAATATATATATGTATCAAATTAGTCATTTTAACCAGTAGTTCCTCAAAGTATAACAACTGTTTAAATTGATAAATGATTTACTTATTAGATTTCTTTTTACACAGCAGAATATTTTCTTTATCAGTCTTTTCTAAATCTGCAGGAGCTGTATATTCTCAGTAACAAATTAATGCTCAACATCATTAATCATAAGAAAAATGCAAAGTAAAGCCACAGTAAGATACCACATCACAACTGTTAAAATGGCAACTATCAAAAACACAAGAAAATAACAAATGTTGGTGAGGATGTGGAGAAAAGGGGACACTTGTGCACTGTTGGTGGGAATGTAAATTGGTATAGCAACTATAGGAAACAGTATGGAAGTTCCTCAAAAATTAAAAATACAAATACCATATGATCCAGAAATTCCCCTATTGTGTATTTACCCAATGAAAAGGAAAACACCAATTTGAAAATGTATATGCATATGTATGTCCATCGCAGTATAATTTATAATAGCCAAGATATGGAAACAGTCTAAGTGTCCAGTGATGGATGAATAAAGAAATTGTGATGTAATAAATGAAGGAATATTATTCAGCCATTAAAAAAGGAATGAAATCGTGCCATTTGACAACATGGATGGACCTTAGGAACATTATGCTAAATGAAATATCACAGAGAAAGACAAGTACCAAACGTACCAAACGTATGAAAATGTCTCTTTTACACGTATAATCTAGAAAAATAATAACTAAAACAAAAAATAAGCTCACAAAGAACAGACTTGTTGCTAGACATGGGGAGTTGCTGACAAAATTTCATATTTAAATTTTAATAAGTAAAGACATTAAAGATATTATTTAAATATTTTGTTAAATAAGAAAGCATGGCAAAACTAATGTTTTTCACATTCCCTATAAATATTGGCAAAACAGTATTCAGTTCAATTCAGTTCAGTCATTCAGTCATGTCCAACTCTTTGTGACCCCATGAATCGCAGCACACCAGGCCTCCCTGTCCATCAGCAACTCCCGAAGTTTACTCAAACACATGTCCATCAAGTCAGTGACGCCATCCAACCATCTCATCCTCTGTCGTCCCCTTCTCCTCCTGCCCTCAATCTTTCCCAGCATCCGGGTCTTTTCAAATGAGTCAACTCTTTGCATCAGATGGCCAAAGTATTTTAGTTTCAGCTTCAACATCAGTCCTTCCAATGAACACCCAGGACTGATCTCCTTTAGGATGGACTGGTTGGTTCTCTTGCAGTCCAAGGGACTCTCAAGACTCTTTTCCAACACCACAGTTCAAAAGCATCAATTCTTCAGCGCTTAGCTTT